TCTGAAGATCATGTGACACTGAAGACTGGAGTAATGATGCTGAAAATTCAGCTTTGATCACAGAAATAAATGACAATTTAATAGATGTTCACATAGAAAACACTTATTTTAAATTGTAATAATATTTCATAATATTTACAATATTTTTGAATAAATAAATGCAGCCTTGGTGAACAGAAGAGACTTCTTTCATGAAAAATCGTAATTATTCCAAACTTGTGTGTGTATGTTTAAAAGACTCTGTGCTTGTGTGTGTGTGTGTCTGTGTGTTCAGTGTGTGTGTGCGTGCGTGTGTCTGTGTTCAGCAGGGCCGTTTCTAGGCATAGGCGAGCTAGGCGGTCGTCTAGGGCACGTTCACGTTATTTAAAGGGGAAGTTGACGCGTTAACGCGTAGCAAATGATTAAGTAGCTGCACTGGTTACTTTTATGCCACTGATAAAGCTTTTATATGTAGTTTGGGGTAACAAAGGGGTTTTATAGGTTTGACTGAAATAATAATGCAATAACTGAACAAAAAACAGATAAAGACAAAAAAAGTAGCCATTGATAATATCTAAACAATATGTAGTAGTATAGTATATAGTATCCAAATCAAAATGTAATAAAATTAATTTATGTGTAAATGATGTGCAATGTCTTAGCCACTAGGGATTGTTACATAGGGCTATACAGGCATCTAGTGGCAACACAGTGATATTACAGATACTAAATTGTGCAAAATGTTTATCTTAACAGTCAATTTACAAATAATGCATTCAGATTTGTGGAACTCAATGCACTGAATCTCCACAAATTAGTGTCGTTACTATGACAACCAATTTGAATGTGACAAGCAACTGGTGTCTGAAAATAATTATATATATATACATTATATATATAATTGGGGGTGGGGGGGATTTCGCTTAGGGCGTCAAATTGGCTAGAAACGGACCTGGTGTTCAGTGTGTGTGTGAGTGTGTGTGTGAGTGACCAAATGTCCCCACAAGGATAGTAAAACCTGAAATTTTTGACATTGTGGGGACCCCACGAGGGAAAAAATGGTTAAAAATAGTAAATGATGTTTATTTGAAAGTGTAAGAATGCAAACAGGTTTTCTGTAAGGGGTAGGTTTAGGGTTAGGGGATAGAAAATATTGTTTGGTCAGTATAAAAGTAATAGAAGTCTATATGGAAAGTCCCCACAATTCACAGAAACAAATGCGTGAGTGTGTGTGTGTGTGTTCAGTGTGTGTGTGTGTGTGTGTGTGTGTGTGTGTCAGTGTGTTCAGTGTGTGTGTGTATCAGGGCGTCTCTCCTGTGTTCACTGATTTCTTCACACTGTAAAGTGTCTCAATGTAACTTCCTCATAGTAACTGATGTTACGCAAGAGCATCTGAGGAACAGAACACTGAACACACACACACACACACACACACACACACACTTGATCTGTGCTGTTAGAGGCTTCGGTTAGTTCTGCTAGTTAAAAAGCGGTGTGTGTGTGTGTGCTGTGGGTCACTATGATCAGTTTGTGTTGTAATCGAGTGTGTTTGACCCTCGTGTTTGCAGTGCATTATGGGTGTGTTGACAGATGAGCACACCTGAGGAGAGTGTGTGAGGTCAGGGGTCAGATCTTCATCCGTCTGTCTGTCTGTAGCACACATCTGTATCCTGTCTGTCTCACAGCACCTGTCTGTCTCTCCGTCTCACACACGTCCAGAAAAACATCATTGTTTCAGTTCAGCTTATCTCTGCTCTCCCAAATATCCTGTTTCTTCCAGAACCAATAGAAAGCTCTTCCTGCTGCGGGCTGACTTCACTTCCAGCTTTAGCACAATCTCATCTGCTCTGAACCGCGCTCGTAACCACACACACACACACACACTCTCACGACGGTCCGTCCTGCTCCAGCATGGCCAGCACCATCAAGGTAAGAGCAGCTCCTCACACACTCGTTAGTGGAGATCCAAACGAGCGCTGAGAGCTCCTTCACGTGTCTTCTCATCTTCTGAGAGTTTGTGTGGAATTTCGCTGTTTGTGGAGATTCTTCGGTCAAATCTGTGGCTGGTTGCATGAACTGCTTTGACTACTCGTACAACTTAGTCAACTGGTCATAACTTTTACAGGGTTTCTGCGGGTCTTACAAAGTCTTAATTCACTCTTTTCACAAATTAGGGCCTTAAAAGGTCTTTTATTCATAAAGTTGTGGCATTTAATGTTGCATGAACCGAAAAAAATGAATCTCTTCCTCAGTATTTCTGTCTTGTATCTTGTTATCAAGATACATTTACTGGAGATGCATATAAACAGTCTTGTTTTCTGAGAAACTGAACAAAATCAAGTGAGTTTATGATTAAAACAAGAACAATATCTGTCAGTGGGGAACGAATTGATTGATTTTTCTGATCCTTTTGGCAGAAATGTGTTCTTTTTTTAATCATAAACAAGACTTCATATCTTCATTCTGCATCTCCAGTAAATGTATCTTGATTTAAGGATCTTTAGACAGAAATACTGACAGAAAACAAGACAGAAATACTGAGAAAAATCTTTGTTTTTAGGGTTTGTTCAAAAGGTAAAGGTTATTTCCATATTCTAGTGTTTGTGAGCAGAGCTATTCAATCTAAACGCTTTATTTTTTTGGAAAGGGAATTACAAAGTAATGGAGATCTGTTGTATTTTACTAACTTTTAAGTGTTTAGACATTTAGATTTAGAGACCATATTGACGTATTGTGTTCCCTTCAATTTATTCTTTACTTCATCTTGAAAAGTTTACCTTCATCAACCCTGCAGAAACCCTGTTTTATTCAGTTGCGTGAAAACTTAGATTGGTCAGATTTGAGAATGAAAAATTAGACTGGTTAACTGCTAGTTAGTTGGACTAGCTTTTATGACTGAGTGTTTGCTGAAATGTCATTTGGATAAAACATTTCTAATACAGTTCGTTTATATTCTGATCATATGTGCTCTGGTCATTTTTGGATCATTTGTTAAGATGTTTAAATGTGAATATTGAGATCCTGCTGAATGTAAATGGATAGAAGTAACAACTAATTGTTTCATTTGTTCATATAACTGTTTTTAAAAGTTACCGTGTTACCATAGCAACAGAGAGAAAATAGATCATTTGTGTTCCAAAGATGTATCAAAATACTTAAAAGTGAATCTTTTAAACAATAACATACTCACTGTTTGTTGTGTTTGTTTTAATACAGTAACTGATTGATTCAATGTATTAGATCGTTAAAATGACTACAAAATCAGGTTTTCGTCACCACCGTCAGATACATTTGTTGATAACATTTCATTGATGTTTTATATTTGTTGAGGAGTGTTGGTCACATGCGAAAGTGTCATCTGTCTGCTAACAAGTTAAAAACATCTAAATTGCTGTTAGAGATAAAGTTGAAATTAGATTACACAGTCCAAGGTAAAAAGCACATTTTGATAAAAAAGAGTAAAGTTGGGAGGTTGCATTAAAGCATAGCTTAGTACACATAAGATACATAAAAGTAGTTTCATTTGTCTGAGCACAAGGATTTATTTTTCAATGTTGCACCGTTTTGTCCCGCATCTCAAGAATCAGTGATTTATGATTGTAGAGTTTAAAGGTTCAGTTGAATATTTGATCCTCTTCACTTTATTTATTTTGCGTCTGCTTCTATTCAGCTCTGGTTCATAATGTTTTATCGTTTCTCATGCGGATAAAAGCATCTGCTGAATGAAGTATTGAGACTGTTCTTCTGGTTAAAGCTGTTTTGTGATGCTTCATTTCAGTTTGGTTTCTTTTGTTTCTAAACTTTATAACACTCAGACATGAAGGATCTCTAAGGGATAGTTGATCCGAAAATGATCATTGTGTCATTATTTACTGCAAAAAATATTTTTTTGTCCATACATTTAAAGTCAGTTTTGCTGAAATGTTGTTTGGTTCTGTTGTTGGAACATCTTCATTTCCACTGTTCCACTGAAAAAGAAAAGTCGAACAGGTTTGAAACATCACGAGGAGAGTAAAAGATGACAGATGGATCATTACATGGTGGACTGTCTCTTTAAGATCCACCGGGTCACGCATGTAAACGCGTGTTTGAACATGGAGTCCGTGGAGAGATGATTCGCACAGATGTGCTGTGAAGATGAAACTCATCAGATGTTGTCTCCGTTTCTCTTCATGTTTCATTCAGCTTTTATTAGAAAGTCAGATCTCAGTATCTGAGTCTAAACACCGGACAGTTCTGTGGCCAAATGCTTCCGTCGGTTCACATACGGTGAACACTGTAACTCCATCACTCTTATAATATTATACTGATTCATTCAGAACATGTATCAAGTCATTTCTCACAGAAATAATGACTGAGTTCGGACAGGTTTCCTAAACTCTCCTGCCGTCTGTCAGTTAAGCAGATAGTCCCGCCCCCAACCAGCGATAGTTTTAGTATCGAGATACTATCATTTTTTTTTTTCTGCTTTCATATTCATTTTGGTTAATGTTTTAGTAATTTTGTTGTGTTTTTATATGTGTGTCTATATAATTTTGTATACATTTTTATTTCAGTTTTAGTTAAGCATCAAGTTAAACTTCAGTTTTTTTCAACTGCTCACACATATTTTCAAAATTTTGCCTCTTTTTTTATAAAACTTTACACACAAATTGCACACTCAAAATGCAAAAAGCCTCACATCTCTTGCAAAATGAAGCACTGCATTCAAAATATCACAAACACATCTCAAAAGCAAACATATATCACATAAACACAGTTATTCCAAACCTAAAGCTCTTCTTTCATGAGCTCCTGTGAACATTTCTGTACAAGATTGAAAGTAACTGCAGAGAGATGTTGACAAATCTTTCAAGCAAACTTGTTTTCCTCTAAGCATCTGTGGTTGTGAACACAGTATTATACAGTACTAAAGAGAAGAACAGTTGTGTAGATGTGTGTTTATTGATTGGTTGGTGTTCAGTGAAGCACATGTGAGGAGTTAGTGATTAATTAGTGTGGCTTTCTGATCGCTTGTGTTTGAAAAAGGAAGTCAAGACACTTCCTGTTAGATTTGTGTGTTACATTGTGTGTTGTGTTTTGCAAAAAGTGCATAAAGTCAAAGTCTGAGAATTAGTGTATGTTTTGCAGATGTGGTATGAGCGTCTGCTGTTTGAGTGTCAGCTTTCAGAAACTGTGTGACAAGTGAAGATTCTGTGTGTACGCAGCTGAAAAAAACCTCAATTAAAATGAGAAATGCTGCCTTGATAAATAGCTGAAATAAAAAAATATATACACTGCAAAAAAATATCCTCTTACTTAGTATTTCTGTCTTGTTTTCTAGTATAAATATATAAACATTCTTGAATCAAGATGAATTTATTGTACAAGTAAAATTACTTTAAGATATTATGTCTTGTTTTCTGTAAAAAAAACAAAAACAAAATTTTGTAAGTTTTTACTTAAAAAAGCAAAAATATCTGCTAATGGGGTAAGAAAAATAATCTTGTTTAGCCTTTGAATTAAGATTATTTGTCTTACCCCATTAGCAGATATTTTTGCTTTTTTAAGTAAAAACTTACAAAATGTAGTTTTTGTTTTTTTTACAGAAAACAAGACTTAATATCTCAAATCATTTCACTTGTCAAGTAAATGCATCTTGATTCAAGAATGTTTAGATATTTATACTAGAAAACAAGACAGAAATACTAAGTAAAAGAATCATTTTTTGCAGTGTATATAATATTTTTTTTATTATATTTCAAGTAAGGAACATGTTTGTTTTTTATGGTTTCAGACTAGTTTTAGTTAACTATGATAACCCAGCTGCAAACTCTCGTCATCGGTTGAGGGTTCAAACTCTTTGAACATGGTGAACAATCGCACACTTCGTCTCTACAGAGGGTGGAGCGTTGTGTTTGCGTCGCTCTGAGGTTATTAATGTCGTGTTGCTCCCGCGGCGTTAACGATGGGCGTCTTCCTCGCTCCATTAGAGGCCCGCACGAATGCAGACGGATGGGCTTTTTCCTCTTTTCCATTCCCAGCCCCTGTTATCCCGTGCTGTCAGGAATGCAGGAAATGGTGGCAGAGCACTTCCTGTCTGTGGCTGCATGTGTGAATGACCCAAACGCTCACTGAGCTTCACGTAAACCCATACAAGTCTACTTTTATTCTTTAGAACGTCTCTTTCATTCACTTTTCTGTGTTTATCGCTGGTGTTCTTTGGCAGAGGTGTTGCAGGCTGTCAATCACTGCAGTGCTTCCCTCTGATTGGCTGAGAGCGTGTGGTGGGCGTGTTTTATAAGTTCATGTCTAACGGAACGCAGGAGCTCTGAGAGCGTTATTAAGGAGAACGTGCTTGAAGAAGCTGATGTTGACTGTGTGTTGGAGGAGATGAAGGCTGAGGAGGTGCTGGAGTGTGTTTGTCTCTCAGGTGAAGGCTGCTTTGACCCGTTCGCTCACTATGGGCTTCACAGCTCCGTTATCAGCGGCCTGCAGATTCATCTGGTTTCCGACATCATTTCCTTTTCCTCCTGCTGATCCCAGAGCTGTGCTGAGGAGCGGCCGCGTGTTTCTCTGTCCTCCGAGTCTCGGGATAGTCTCGCTGTTTCTGTGTTTGAATTCAGCTGAAGTGTTTAACCCTATAAAGCTACTGTATCATGAATTTCTAAGGTCTCTAAATGATCAACATGATCAATCTCCTCCATGCATTCTGTCTCTGATTGATAGTCCAGAGTGTTTTATCCAGTAAAAGCTCTTTTAGTGTAATTGTACAAACGTCCAGCTTCAGCTCGAGCTTCTCGTGTCAAATCTTGACAGATTTTGATCAAGTAAGCGTCAGAATAACTGCAGTAATATCTCCAGATGAACACTTACTGGACTGAAGCAGCTCAGCTTACTTGATTCTCCATCAATCATGTTTTAGAGTCTCAAATCTGATCCTCAGGATCTTTTGAGGAGCGTTTGTTTCCAGAAGCTTTACTTTCACTGTTCCTCAGCGGAGGAATGATCTTCACAAGCCTCCAGAACATCTCACATCTTCTGAGGAGCCTTTATTTCTTCAGCTCTCAATCACTGCATTATATGTTTGGAGCATTTCAATCTCATCTCACTGAGACACATTACTGGAGATATAGAGCGACCACTGATATTTAGATCATTTTATGTCAGTATCTGCTCTACTGTTAGAAAGATCTCTCTGATTTACATCACAAGCAGCAGAATTTCATCATATAAATATCAGCATCTGCAGCTAATTCATATTTTTGCTCAGTTTTCAGCAAAAGGTTCCATCTCAACAAGACATTTCTGATGATTATTTCATGTCAGGCTTTACAGGGTTAATAATGTGGCAGATATGTCACATATCTTTGTGAGGGTCAGATGTTCTATGTGTTCACAAATATAGTGGAACGTCAAAAATTTGAGGAGCTGCTGAGTTGTCTCAGTGTCTTGTGATTGTTAGTTTGGGTTTAGTTTGGGTTAGTGATGGTTAGTTAGGCGCTGATGGAGGACAGTAGGTATCAAACTTTAGTGAGCGTGATGGATTGTAGCGTGGTAGGAGACTAGTTAGGTACGCAGGAGCTAACCCATTAAGGGCCTTATAGGTAAGTAATGATATTTTGTAACTGATACGGAAACTTAATAG